GCTTGTTGCCCTGCTGCCGCTCAGACCCGCCGGGAGGAATCCCGAGGGGTGTCGGGGGTCCTTGCGGGGAGCCCGGGGCGGCTGTTGGGGTGGATCCTCCGCTGAGGAGAGGGGCGCGGCCGACCGCTGTGAGGGGCCGCTGGCCGGCAGCGCTGTTTCCGCGCGCCCTGCGGAGCTCTCCGTGCTCGTACGGCGCCTAAACTCCTCGGGGAGAACTTAAAACGTCTGCTCGCTCCGGACTCGTGTTGGTAGTCTTTTATCGCAGGGCTGAGGCGCTGTCGCCAGGTGTGTAGTTCAGTAACCCCAGCCTGCAGTCCTCTGATTTTCCTCAGAGTTAAGTAATGGTTGCGCCACTCCCTCAGGTTATGTTAAAGAACTTTCATGCTTAAAAAGCAGTTTCATTCGTTAAAAGTTGCAGTGTGTGTGTGAGAAACTATAGGTTGGGTGGTGCTGATGAGATGGACTTCTAGTATGTTCTGCTTTTTGCTCAGGGTAATAAAATTTGTCTGGCAAGTGAAACAACATTAAGTCTCTAGTCAGCTTAAGTACCTCTGACAGCAGTCAGCTTGGAGTCAGACATCCTTAACCTTTTGTGAGGATAAAAGAGGTGTCCTTGAATAATTAGGGGAGTAAGAGAACATGCAGAATTATTGTTGACATGATGCATCATTTTCAAGGTATGCTCATATCTTGGGAATTATGTTGTATTTCCCTTTATATGAAAGACCTTTGGGCAAGGCCTCCCTGATGCCTAGAAAGAATTACAATTTTTTTCTTTTTTATGCATCCCAGTTCCAAAGAAGTAAAATAGCAAAAAGACAAAGGTGAAGTCAAACAGCAGATGATATTTCTCTTCCTTTTCTTGATCTTAAACAGAGTTTGACAATCATAAATAGAAAAAGAAAAGGGATGGTTTTGCAGTAAGTAGCAGACAACATCATATGCATCCACAAATCAAAATATTTTTCAGGATTTTTCAACATGAATAGAAAGGGTGTTCATAAAGTGACACAGTTATGTTTCAGTTTCCCAGGCTTCCTGTGCTTCTGCTGTTGGGAGACTGAAGGTTACCTTTAGAACATGGAGATTTAATTCCAGTATATCCCTAGGAATGCAGGATGGGAATTGACAGGTGGGAGGAGACTTGGAAAGCACAGGGATACCTAACCCAATGAGAAGTGGCCTTTATTTTTGTCTGAAAAACAGGAGCTTTCTGGGAGAAGTGATGAATACAAAACTCCTGGGACTACTGATAGTAAGGACAACTGTTCCATTTTCTTACGAACTGTCTTTGGGTGAGGTAGCCACTGTTTTAAGACAGTACAGATGTTGAACCCCAAAATTAATAAGGATGTGTAAATAAAAATAATGGAATAAATTGGTAGCTGTGCTGTTGTGCATTCCTTTTGAATTCCAGTTCTCATTGCTTGAAGAAGAATATAGCAGAAAGTTACTGATGGCATCAAGAGATCTTGCATAAAGGGGAGAGGACTGAATTGGATAGCTTTCCCTAAAATTAAGAGCTGTGATTCTTCTTACTTATAAAGGAGACCCTGGTCTGTCAGCTTGACCGCACATCTGACCAGAATCAACTAAAAGTTAGGTGGGATGAAGACTCCATCTGAGGTAAATTACGGGAGATATGGCACAGGTGTGTGGAGCAGTATGGGAGAAAATATGTATGTTTACATTCATGTTTTGTTACTGCGAATGCTTGACAAAAATCTAGAAGTAGCAAGTGTACAAGTTATGATTGCAACCAATATCTTCAGATATTCAGTAGTTCAGTACTTTAAAGTATACTGTTCTGTGCGTTTTCCTGTATTTTTTGTTTACCCTCCTTGCTGTGCTAGAGTGTCTTCAATACAAGTGGATCTGTAGGTCCCATTGACTATGTCCCAAAGTACAATATGTTCATTAATACATCTTACCTTCACCTACAATTTAGCAACTGCATTTTCAGGAAATTGGATTCCACCTTGCATTGTTAAATAAGCTATAGGCTGCACGAGGTGCATGGTCTAATTGCATAGGCTCATGCTATACCATTTTACCTCAGCTGCTGTAGTTGACCGTGAACTGACTTAAACTACCACAGATCTACTTATTACTAAGTGCTACACTCATACCATTTTCTGGGTAGAGGTATGTATAATGTTTTTCCTCTATGTTACCTCACAGGTAACATGCAAGAGACTTGTGCACCGTGGGTGGTAAACTACTAAGGATGCAAAATGCCTGTATACCCAAGAATTGATATAAAACAATGCATTGCCTGAGTATGAAAGACCCTTAAGGTTGTCGTTTTTATGATGAGGACTGACTTGTTTTCTGCCCTGAAATTACAAAATATGAGAGAACTGACCTTGCTGCATCAAGTGAGCTGGAGAGAACTAGTCTGCAAGCTGTGATGGAGATTTTAGTGCAAGGGCTTGGTCAAGAACATTTTAACACAAGAAAGAGCAATTCAGCTTTTATCAGAGAATGGTTTTAGGGTTTTGGCTTTATTATCCTGATAAAAGAAAAACAGATGTTTTAAATGGGTGATGAAATGGCTAACTAATAGTGACAGGCACAACATCTCATAATGAAGGCATGAAGAACTGTTTAAGGGAATACCATTTATGTGTGCAGCCTTCTGAATGGGTTATCATTAGGGAAAACTAGTCATTGCTTGAATAAATGATGCAGTTTTCAGCAGTGCATCAGGAATACTTTTGGGAACCTCTTAGCTTCTTGAAAAGGAGAAGCAATTACTTATTTTCATGCCCAGTAATCCTCTGCAAATTATTTTCTTTCCCCATCAGTATTAAATGCAGGGGTGCTGTCTTTGCTAACAGTCTATTGGAAGTGTTTGCTGAAAGACTTACCTTGTAGAAAGTTAAGCATTTTCATACTTATTTAAGATACTAGGTAATGTATAATTTAAAATACAGAAAAAAGTCACGTTTCTGTACTGGGGGGATGCAAGTGGAAAATGACAAAAAAGGAGATAATTTTTCAGCAAGTCTTGACAATAACCTGTTTTTTCTTAATGTTTTTTCCACACTTCCCTTGGCCCTGGGCTTGGCAGCATGCGAAGCTTTAGGGAGGCTGAAATACTGTTCTGTTTTACTGTTGATGTATAGAGGCTTTTTTTTTGAGTAGCTTTTAGCTACTACCCTTTTGAAAATTTCTTTTTCATTATTTCTTGGTTATAAAAATGCATGTGGCTGTTCTGCTTTTGCCACACAGGTTCAGCCCACCAAGAAAAATATGTGACCTGTGACAGAGCAGGTGTTTCTGTTTCAGCCAGCTGTGTCTAGTGGAAAACATTCTTTTGCTTCACATTTATGGAAGTTACTTACATTAATGTCACTCTTCTGTTTTAAGCCAGATCTGCGTGCACATTCACAGTGTTGCTGGTGTTGAGTATGTACTTGAAAGGTACTTGACTTCCATCCTTTCCCACTTGCCCTGTCGTTTCCTTTTTGAAGGCACAGAAAAAAGTGATTTTTTTTTTTTTTTTTTGGCAGCTAGAATTGATAAGACTAGTAGCAAGCGAATTCCTTCTTGTAAACTACAGTGGCTTTTAGCCTGGCTTACAGGACAGAAGTTTCCCTGTTCTTTGTTCCCTCCATGGAGGGCAGGATTAAGTTTTGATAGTTTCCTGGTGTTTTCTTAAGGCATCTGTAGCATCTTAAAGCTTGATTTACAATAGGATCAGATATCCTTTGGCTGTTTGGAGTTTATGGATTATACCTGGGTAAGGTATAATTAATGAACCAGTAAGGGAAATAACCCCAGCTGTTGCGGAAATGAACAGCTGATACTGAACTGTAAGAATATGAGGGAACTGTGAGAATCTGGACATACAAAATTATCTCAGGGTCAGAAATACGGTCAGAAAATGAGTAAATGAGAAGTGGGTTAGGAAAGGCGTTAACATTAGATTTTTTGGAAAAGAGTAAATGAAAACATAGTTTCTAAGATTGGGGCTTGAGGATGAGTAGTGGAGAATGACTAATGTTAAGAATCAAATATGTAGTTTGGGAAGCTATAGCAGCAATGAAATCTGAAGACCTGTGCTAGCTGTGCATACATACTCACAGTGGGAACCTATAAAACTGTGAAAATGGAGGCAGGAAATTGCATCTAATTTGGATGCTGTCATTAACATAATGTTAATCAGGAAAGAGAGAGACTTGGAGAATTGAAGGATGGTGAAGAGGTTGAGTTTTTCTTCTCATGTTAGGCCTCTTAGAGAGCTCCTATATATATCATTTGGCAGAATGATACTTTACGTGCCAAAGTGTACAAATAAAGTGGTATTTAAATGAGCAGAAGGATTTGAAACAGCAGAAAAGGTAAACTTTTAAACGGTTAACGTTAAGACCTAGATAAAATGGGAGAATAATCTGCAAAGGTAAAAAGATAATAAATATCCCTGCAACTTGGCACATTTGGAACTAGATGATCAAAGCCTTGGTCAAAAGTGAAATAGGAATGAGCTAGCAAGTGTATCCTTAGAAGTCTTGGTTTTGCAGATGTAGTACGTCCAATAGAAGAATAACTGTTGAAAGCTGCATTTGACAAGTAGCTTAAATAGGCAATTTAGCACTTTAGCTGTTAAAATAAATCTAATAGTATTAGTCTGTTCTTGTATGATAGCACTTTAGTAATGAAGTCTAGTATTAATAGCTTCATGAACTGCAGTTGTTGAGTACCTTTCTGACTATTGCAGGTGCCTTCGCTTGCAAGATGGTACCGTTTGTTCAATCGACTGCTATTGTAACTGAGATTCTTACAATGACCTGCATTGCTGTGGAAAGACACCAGGGAATTGTGCATCCATTAAAAATGAAGTGGCAGTACACCAATAAAAGAGCTTTCACGATGCTAGGTAAGATTTTAGGTATCTCTGATAATTGTGTGTATAGAGAAATAATCTTCAGTGTAGCTAGTGTAGATGGCATGGCAGAACGTGGCACTGGGGTGACCAGTGAATCAGAGGTAATGATAAGTCTAGTAATGTTCATAAAATAACTCAAGGATGGTACCTGTATGTATAATAATTGCTAGCCAAAGCTCTGACTATAAACTTACAATCTGAAGTTAAAGATTTATTTAACCAAGGCTCTGATAAACCTTTGGCAGCTTTTTTGTTATAAGAGAGGTTCAAAAATGTATAAGCCCTGCTAGAGGAGTGTCGCAGCTGTAAATGGCCCTTCTGCTGCAACACAAAGAGAGTGTGTATATAGTGCTGCTCATGCAAATTCAATTGCCTTTACATGTGGATACCAATAAGTGAAGGCAATTTGAAAGGAAATTGATAATGAAAGAGCATGCTGTTGTTGATGTGAATGTTGACTGAGGTATGCCTCATGCAGAAAACTTTCTTCTTTATTTAAATTGTCCACTTTGCCTGACTTTTTAAAGATGAAGCTGTTAAACTGTTTGTACCAGAACTCATGCTGCTTGTTGTACAAAGTATTAAGAAATGTATTTGTTTACAGGCATAGTCTGGTTGCTGGCAGTTATTGTTGGGTCTCCTATGTGGCATGTGCAACGGCTTGAGGTATGTTAGGTGAAATGGGAATTTACATTTTAAGCTCGGACCTTGCTGGGTCTATTTGTGTCTTTAGCAGTGAGATTGAGTAAACTAAGAAGAGACAGTGGGATAAGAGAAGTGGAGCTTTTGTTCTGTGTGCCAGTGTGAGAAAGGCTATGCATTAGGACTTGCGTGCACTGGAAGGAGGACTACCAACAGGGACTAGCCGTGTCTACCCTCATCGTTTGTGTCAAAGAGCACCAATTGCATCTGTGACTTCCACTGTGGCTTCTATTTGGTTTATAGGTGCGCTGGCACACAGCAGTGTAGGGCTGAGGTTAATATTTCAGGATGACATAGTGTTCCCTGACATTTTGAAGAACTGTGTCTATTTTAAAATGTATATTAGCTGCCCATTAGAGTTTAAGGAGTTACTGTATACTTTTGGAGAAAAAAAAAAAGGCTTGTCAGAATCTGCTGCTTGTGAGTCTGAATGTTAATGAATCTTTTTAAAGAATAATACATGAGATTTCTATACACCCATCTTTACTTGCAGAATATGTAGCCATGGTCTCCTTTGAAAATCCTGATTAAAAAAAAAAAGTAGTTCTGAGGAGGAGTGCAGATGAGAGTATCTCCTGACCTCTCTTTGTCAACTTGGATCAACCCAATACTTGATGTGGGAAAGTACGTCAAAGGATTTTGTCGCTTTGAAAATTCTCTGTTGAATTTTGGTGGTTGTAGTAAGAGCGAGGGATATTTGAATGTGCTTGGTTTTTACACTTGAGGTAAACACTGTGTGACTCATCTCCTTTACACTTGTTACAGGTTAAATATGACTTTCTATATGAAAAAGTATATGTTTGTTGCTTGGAAGAATGGGCCAGTCCGATTTATCAGAAGATATATACGACCTTTATTCTTGTTATACTCTTCCTTCTTCCATTGATGTTGATGCTTTTTTTGTACACTAAAATTGGTTATGAACTCTGGATTAAGAAACGAGTGGGAGATGCTTCCGTTCTTCAAACCATTCATGGGAATGAAATGTCAAAAATATCAAGGTTTGTAAAGTAAAGTACAGTTATAACTTTGACATGTAGAAAGCATTTTTTTCTGACAGTTCTTGAAAACCTGTGCAAAGGAAAAAGAAGTGGCTTTCCTTATCCATCGGCGAGTCTACAAGTACAGACTAGATTTTTAAAGCCAACTAGTTATTTCACACTTAGATACCCAATTTAAGGCAACTTAAATGCATTGTTATCTTCAAAGCCACACCTTGGAAGTCAAGCCCTTTCAATAAAGCTCATATTATACATTGTGAAATGCTTGTTTTTGAAAGATGTAGGCCAGAAGTTAGAAGATGACTTGGGGAAAATGCTGCTAGATTATTTTTGTATGTTCTATGAAAGGTTCCTTATATAATTCTGAGACTGTGAACACTGCTTTATGATCCTATTATATTAAGTTGGCATATAGGGAAAAAAAATTCGTTAGAAAAGTACTTTGGTACAGTTTAACTCAATATGGCTTCTGAAGAGTTTGGAGTCTTCTCAGATGTGTTTTGTGAGACTATCCAGACGGTAACTCTATCTGAAAAGTTATGAAAATCAGTAATTATCAACTTTGCTATTTAGCACTAAATGCAGGCTAACCTTAATATTGCCTCATGTTTTTATCTTTCATTTGGCAAATTGAACTGTTGCCCGATGTGCTAGAAACCTCTAACAGTTCTGCTCATTCAGGAGAGTATCACCTTAAGCATTGGCTGTAAGGAGAATACTGTCAGTCAGCTTAAAGATAATTACTCTTTAGATATTTGTCTAACCAAGTGCCTAAGGAAGCCAGACCTTTTAAGTCAAAACTGAAAGAGGGTGCAATGTCACAAGAGTTAAGGTGACGTGTAATCTTTGGGCTACTCCTCAGTTTATTTTCAGACAGTGAGGAGAAGGTCCTTTACTACCAGTGATGTGCTGCTACTTGAGCTCAAGTGAGAGATCCATCTTGGGATCTATAAATGTAGTTAAAAGATGTACGTTATCAGTTTGGAGATTATGATAAATTCATGTGTACTTTGAGTTTGTGAGATATTCTAGCTGAGGCGGGGAGTGTGTTTCTTGCTCTTATTTCAGCATTTCACCTGGCAGCAAAGGTTGAATGTTGCAGATGTAGTTTCATTTACTCGCTGTCAATTTCTCTGTATAATCAGGTGCTGCAGGTATGGTCAGTGCTCTCAGCTCTAAGAAGGGGCTCTTGTTTTGTGACCTGTTAGTGGAATTTAATGTGGTTTTGGTTTGGTGTCCCTGTCCCCTCCCCACCCCCAGCTGTTACTATTGGAATTGCATCTGCTTGAATAGACTGAAAATGCCTTGCAAGATGCACTATGTCATTGCTTGCTGCAGCTACCAAGTGCATTGCTTTCCGAAAAGAGAGAAATAAAAGGCGTTAGCGTTAATTTATGTACTAGATTTATATGATGCTGCATTTTTTTGTTTCAAAGGGAATTGTGTACTTTGAGCATTCTTCCAGGCATTTCTTTGCATCTGCAACCATCAGAACACATTTACAGATCTAACTTAATGAGACATGTATAACTACAAGTCAATTCTTAGTTGATTCAGTATGGAATGTCTTGATGCAATTTCAGGAAGAAGAAGCGAGCAATTGTAATGATGGTGACAGTGGTGTTTCTCTTTGCAGTCTGTTGGGCCCCTTTCCATGTGATTCACATGATGATAGAGTACAGTGAGTATCTGCCATGTGTCATACAATGAAGTCGTTTTGTTTTTTTGATAATGGAACTACAGGTTTTGAAAAGCTAGGGCTGCTGCAGCATTCAGCTATAGAATATCTTCTGCCAGCAAAGGCTAAGGTTTTGCTTATAAATCCTGAATCACTGTCTTGCAGTAGAGCTACATCATCAACAACAGATGAATTATTGAAGTCTATGAGTGATAGATAGATCTGCAGGGCTCATGGTAAATAAGTACATTTCAAAAAACCTCTTATTGGATGTAGTGTTTGGGCGATACCTCATATGAGATACACTTATGTGTCAGCCAGATTTCCTCTGCTCTGTGAATAAAAAAAGATAATCTTTGTGTCTGGCTGTAAACCCTACTGGACTTAGTTGCAGGATGGGTGGGAGGGAGGGAATCCAGACTCTACCAGCTCTTTTAGAATGTAAGGCCTTTAGAAAGGAGATTGTCATTGCTTCTGGATTTGTACAGCACATAATCCAGTCCTGAAAAGGAAGTTTACTAGGCATTGGAAGACTGAAGAAACAGCAAGACCTCAATATTAAGATGATGGACAGAGGCTTTCTGTAACTTGGCAGTTGGGCAAGTTTTTTAGCTCATAAATTCTCTTTTGGACTAGTTTGTCCTTTTTTATGTATATATACAGAGCAGGGATGCATGGTAGATCTTGGTCTTCCCTTGCTGAAGAAGCTCTGTTGCTAATATTAAGAGCCTCCAGCAAGGTCTTCTGTTGATGTTAAACAAAAGCTGCTAATGCCAGACTAGATATAAATGGGCTAAGTACTGAGTATTTATGCCATTCTGTGCTTACAGCATATTTCTTTTTTCTTTTTCAGGTAACTTTGAAAAAGAATATGATGATGTGACAGTCAAAATGATCTTTGCAATCGTCCAGATAATAGGATTCTTCAATTCTATTTGCAACCCTATTGTGTATGCTTTCATGAATGAAAACTTTAAGAAAAATTTTCTGTCTGCCATCTGCTTTTGCGTTGTCAGAGAAAATGCATCCCCAACCAGGCAGCCCGGGAACTCGGGGATTACTATGAGGCGGCAAAAGGCAAGTGTTTCTCGGGAAGATCCCATTGACTCGGATGAAGCCAGGAGGGAGGCATTCAGCGATGGCAACATTGAAGTCAAGTTCTGTGACCAGCCAGCTTCAAAAAGGAATTTGAAAAGGCACCTTGCTTTATTCAGCTCTGAGCTTACTGTGCAGTCTGCATTAGGAAATGGACAGTAGTGTCACAAAGGTTTTGAGAACAGAAAAAGCAGTCTCTTTATATGGTAACTTTGAGTAAGCCATTTAAAACAATTTTGTGCTTTACATGCTGAAATGAGGGGAAAAGTGTTTTGTGGATTCTGGTAATGGTTGAGAAAATGTAATATGTTTTGTAAGGATGAGTGTCCTGGTTTTGGCTGGGACAGAGTTAACTTCATAGTAGCTAATGTGAGGCTGTGTTTGGATTTGTGCTGAGAAGAAGGCTGGTAACATACTGATGTTTATAGTTACTGCCAGGACAGCCAAGGACTTTTCAGCTTCTCTGCTGTGCCAGTGTCTGCAGGGGCAGGAGAAGCAGGGAGCGAGCACAGCCCCAGTTACTAGCCTAGGATTCAATCTTCAGTTTAGGATTGAGACCCAGATTGTCCAATGGTATATTCCATATCATGTATGTCATGCCCGGTGTATAGATGAGGGTCTGTCTGGAGGCTCCCTCTCTCTATGTCACCGCTCTCTCTGGGTAATCTCCATTTCTCTCGGGATTGTCTCTCAGTCAGCTCTTGCTCTCTTGGATGCTTGGGCTCTTCTGTCTTTTCCGGGATTGTGATTTCAGGACTCTCCCTGCTCTGGCACCGTTAGCTGAGAATGGGCTGAGCCTTGGTCATCGCATGGTGAGCTGTTTCACTGTGTATATCTCATTTGTATATTTGGATATATTACTAT